AGGCTGCCCAGAGGGGCCCCCAGGCCTCCAAGGGCATCAGGAAAACTCTGCTCACACGCACAGTGACTGCAGCCCCTGGTCGCCGCCGGCTCTCTGATGTGCTCTGTGTGAGTCAGAACTGCGGTGGCCTCAGTGCTGCTCCTGTGTCAGCAGCCCTTGGACGTCTTTGAAAGAGCACAGCCGGAAGCAGCAGGCTGTCTTTGGGTTAAGACTGCAGACCGTCCTTTGATTTGATGGCTCCTCGATTTGATTATAACCAGACTTGGGATGAAAGGGACAAAAATGTCCAAGAGAGAAATGGGGGGACCCTCCCACTAGGGCAACATGAGGGAGATGCTCCAGGCCTTCGGGGGGAACGTCTCCAGCCCTGCTCTCCAGCGGGTCCACTGTCGGTACCACCATCCCGCTCAGACGAGGGTCTGACACACCTTGAACTCCCTCGCTTCCTTTCTCACCTATGCTCTCCTCTTGCCACGGATGCCACCCCGTTTCCCATCCCTGCAGCTCTCAGATCCAAGCGCGTGCAGCCTCCCGGCTCCGGGCCGGGGCTCCTTTCCCCCCCTCCCCGGCTCCTGACCCGCCCGCTCTCTGTGCTCCTGTCGCACCCATTTCCCACCTGGCAGTTGCTCGCATCACTCTTAAAGAGACTGTGCCTCTTGCCGTGTTCTGTCACAGCTTGCAGACAGAAAATTGTGGTGCCATGGGGACACCACATGGCACTCTTGGGCCAAGAGGAAGAACCTGGACGCTGACTCGGCTATCTCCTTCTTGTCTGGTCTCAGAGAAGGTCACCCTGCAACCAGGGGTGTTCCTGGGTAGCTATGAACGTGAAGTAAGACGATGGTCATTAGCGTGCGCTGTGATGTGCAGTGGCTGGCGGGTGTGCGGGCTGAGCCACGCCACCGTCATCCTCAGTCTCCGTGCCATTTCCAGCATCAGCACCATCACCCTCTCGTCGTCATCACATGCTGTTCACGCGTGCTACCTTCCAAACCAGAGCCTCTTGTGGGGGCCCCCAGCACACCGAGCACAAGGCCAGGTACACAGTTGGGACCCGGTGACCCTTTCTTACTCACCTGATACACTCAGAGGAACGTAAGTCAGAGGGAGAAGGCTGGGTTTGACAGGACGTCGTACAGAGATCCGGCTTTCTTCCTCTGTCTGATGAGGCACAGCTGGAAAGCAAGCACATTCTGAAAGTCAGACGCCTCCCTGCCTGACGTGGTCTTGGGCACTGTTTTGCCACGGTCCCTAACGCACCAGGGCACTTCCTAACTCACGGTCTCACCCAGCCTTCGAGAATCCTGAGAAAGGGGGCAGTGTGGCTCAGTGGCAGAGTGTGTGCTTAGCACGCATGAGGTCCTGGGTTCAAGCCCCACTGCCTCCACTAAAAAATCCTAAATACCTACCCCTCCAAAAACGTACAATAAGAAAGTTTTCTGAAGAGAGTCCTGAGAAACCTAAGTGCATCAGTGCCCCACTTTACAGTCAAGCGAAGTGAGGCCCAGCAAGGCCAAGGGGCTCGCTCGTTTCACGGCAAAGCAGTGAATCACCGGTAGAACCCAGCCTGGGAAGCAGGCTCCTAGCCTTGGCCTTGGCTCTTTCCCGGGGGAGACTCACTGCACTGAAATAATTTTCTGCCACGAATTTAGAGAGAGATTTTAGAACTGTCACTATTGGTCGTGTTGTCCTTGCCAGGACCCATCACCATCCGCATGCTATGCCTGAGGGGACCGAGGCTCTGAGCGGTGAGATGTCCTGCCAAGGTCAGAGAGAGGAGTGGGGCCAGGGCCAAGGTCAGAGAGAGGAGTGGGGCCAGGGCCAAGGTCAGAGAGAGGAGTAGGGCCAGGCTCTCATCCCCTAACACCCACTGAGCACATCGAGGCCTGTGGGCTGAGCCTCCTGCCGGTGTGAACCTCTCCCCATTCTCCGGTTCCCCCACTCACAGGAAGTTCAGGTCAACCACATCCTGCCACGTCCCTGCAGACGAGATAATGATCCTCACCACCACCATTCTCTGTCCCACCACAGCCCAGCCCGGCCCGGAGAAGGCGACGTCAGCGCTGGAAGGGGCCAGGCTCTGTGCTCCATGGCGCATCCCCCTCCAGAGTCATCTGGGACACTTGTTAACAGTCAAGTCCCCAGGCCATCTCTAGATGAGGCCATGGAGCCCAAGTAGGGGCCTGGGGATCTGCATTTTAGACAAGCCCCCTGCATCATTCTAGGAGTGTTCAAGTGTGGGAAGCCACTAGTCCAGCTCTCATTTTCAGAGAGAGAAACTGAGGTCCAGAGAGGCCCCCAGCAGCGCGGGGTGGGTTGCCTCTTCAGCACGCCTGTTCCTTCTGTGTAAAGGGACCAGTGAGGCTACTGAATTCGCACTCCGCTGTTAGGGAAACGGGCGGGGAAGGCTGACTAGGCCGGCTGGGGCCCTCAGCCAGCCAGCTCCACATAAGCAAAGGAATGAAACTTCGCAGAGGGTGAGAACGGCTTTTGGAGGCCCTCCAGGAGAACTCCGTGCATCCAAGGCTGCATCCACAAGTAGACAATTTGGAAGGCGCCTCCTTGGAGCGTCGTGGAGCTGACCTCCAGGCCAGAAGGAGGAACACACCAGCCCAGGAGTAGGAGAACCGCTGCCCGCAGGGCCGAGCTGGCCTGCTGCCTGTTTCCGTGAAGTTTGGCTGGAGCATCGCCACCCCCACTTGTTTGTGTATTGTTTGTTTATGGCTGCTTTGCTTTTGTGCTAAAATGGCAGAGTAAAGCCCAAAATATTTCCTGCCTGGCCCTTTCCCGAAGAAGCTTGCCAGCCCCCCACCTCAGCCCATCAACCACGCAGCAGAGCTCCGTCCCCGTGGCCGTCCCAGAGGGTCTCTGGGTTTCCCACCCCTGCATCCCCGGCACCCGAGCAGCACAGGGCTGGGCATGTTGTGGATACTAGAAAAATGGGTAAATGAATGAACCATCATAATAAGCTATTTTACTTCCCGTTGCACAAATGAGAAACCACAGCCCTCAGGGAAGGTCAAGGATCCGGCCCGAGGTCTCCGCGTTAGAAGGTGCCAGGGTTAGCCTTTGTCTCGATCCACAGGACAGTGTTTTCCCCTATAAACTTGAGCAACGGTCAGGTGGAATCTTGCCAGGAATCTGCTGAAGTGGGGCCAAGTGTTGATCTTTTGGAAGAAGGGGCTGGAGAGGCGGGAACGCGTAGGAAGAAACCAAGACTCACCCGCAGGGGGAAGACCCTGTGCCTGTTGCTGGGAAGGCCGATGCCCGGGGACGACAGGGCCTGACTCACACTGCAGTGCTGGCTTCCATCCGGGCCTGCTCGCCTCTTCACTGGAGGTGAGCACTGGAGCTCACTCACCTGGAAGCGAAGGCAGGCCCTTCAGGGAGTACAGAAAGGGGAGAGAAAGTGCGCCAAGCATGTGTACCAGAGCAGATGCAAAACGAGTTAGGCTCCGGGCTCCGTGGTGGGAGTCCCTGCAGGCCTCACGGGGAGCCTGGCGGTGGGGCTGTGGTGGACATGCCAGCGCAGGAAGGGCCTGGGCCCGACGACCACGAAGCCTCTCCCAGCTCCGGGGGGCTCGCCCTGACCACACGGCTTGAGCCAGCCCTGGCGGTCTCCCCTTCCAGCTCACTGAGAGGCTTCAGGGCTCAGGACCGGTTCTCTTGGACCCGACGGACCCGGCCCGGACGGCCACGGACAGTGGGAGACCGTCTGGGCTGGCTGATGGGACCCCGTCGTTGTCTTTGCCAAGCAAACCCCATCCACCTAGTGTGGTCCGCAATGTATGCTCCCCGCTTCTTTTGGGTGGAGTCGGCATGAGAGCCTGAGCGCTCAGATCCAATTTTGCCGGCCTGCTTCTCTCGCCCTTACAGTTGTGTCCCTGACACTTGACTCGCCAGGAAGCCGTCCGGCCACCCCGGTGTTGATCTCCCTCAAGCACCCAGCCTGGCTGGTGAAGAAACAAGCGGTCTCTCGCTTGTTCCCTTGTGTTGCGAAGTAACAATCGCGCTGTTTAATTAGTCACAGGAACAGGGTGCGAACAAGAAGGAGTAGCGCTTGACAAGCACACAGAACTCAAGCGACGGGAGCAGATGTGCCCGGGAGACGGACGCGCCTGCTGGCCTCCGGCTGTGGTGCATCCCGGACGCCGCGCTCGCCGCGGGGCCCGGGGCCTCCCTCAGTCTGGCGAGGTGGTCGGCTGGAGGCTGCGTAAGAGGGTCCTGCTGTCTAAGCAGGTGCCGCGGCCCCTCGCCGTGCGCAGGGCACCGTCCCGGGGAAGCCGCAGACTCTCTGAGGCCGGCAGAGCGAACTTTCATCCAAGCAACGGGGGCGGGTCACGGATGACAGCGACTTTCTCGAGGACCAAGGCACAGTGATTGTCTCCTTGCGTCTGTGCTGCCGGGGCCCAGCGCAGAGTGGGCACGGGAGAGAAAGTCCATTGTTTATGGGACAGAAGGGAGAGATGGACAGTGAGGCCCGAGTCCCCGCAGCTCCCGCATGAGCACGTGTGGCGCGCACACCCGGGCCCGGCGCTGGGCCTGGAGACGGAGCTGCCTCGCCTGCGCAGGCCGTGTGCTTCCTGCCTCCTGCGCCCCCCCGCCTGTCCCCTGAGCCCTCTGTCTCCTCTGGTGTTCCTGTGGAGCTCTTCCGCAAAGTGGCCCAGGAAGAGCCTGCTGGGAGCTCGGGGATGCTGCCCGGCTCGCGTGCTGAGGGGTCCCCATTCCTCTCACCTTCACCCCTTGGCTTCCACCTCACCTCTTACTTCCATCTCCAAGTCTTTCCGCACTTATGCAAAACATCCTGGCCGGGCTCCCCTCCAGCTCTAGGGGAAACCCTAAACCTTACAGTGAAAATAAGGGGCCCGTTTGCCCCGAGAAACTAGACACAAACAAGCCTGGGGTGACCGCTGGGCCAGAGCTGTTCCTCCAGATGAGTCACAGGGCCCACTCGCCACGGTCTCTCCCCGGCTCCCCCTCCAGCCCCAGCTCGTCCGGAGGGCTGGCCTGGGTACAAGCTCGGCCGATGAGCCGGGGGTGAGGAGGGGAGGCTGGGGAGGGACGTGGCCGAGGAAGCCGCAGCGACCTTCCACCTGGGTGGGGCTTCTCTTTTCTTCTTTTAACCTCCAGCTAAACTGCTCGAAACTGCTTGTCAGCACCTCGGCTTCCTTCCTGCCCGCACCGCTGAGAGAGGGTGCACAGGAGGGGATGGTGGCCCAGCCCCACCTTCACTCCCTCAGGCAGGCAGCAGTGCGGCTTATTTCTCAGCAAACGTCTACTGAAGTCTGTTTTCTGATGGGAACGTGATAGCCCCGGAGCTGATGGTTAGCGAGGCCAGACGGCACACTCTCCCTGCCGGCGGGGCCTCTGCCTGCTCACGGCCGTCTGCTCATGGCCCGGAGCGGCGCGTGGCGTCTAGAGGCACTCAGTCAGGATGTGTTGAGTGAATGCGTGACACAAAGAGGTGCAGCTGGCACCCCGAGTGCAAGGCTTCCACGTGCCCTGGGCCATGGACTGCGTCATGGGTCACCTTCGGGTCCAGGGAGGGCTCCTTTGCACAGATGATGACCCAGCTGAGGGTCCAGGGAGTGAGGAGAGAGCAGCTAAAGGCAGGGACAGGTGGTGCCGGGAAGAGTGTTCAGGCAGAGGGAACAGCATGGCTGAAGGTCCTGAAGCAGGAGGCAGCAGAGTCCCTGGGGGCTGGCGGGGGTGGGTCAGAGTGACCCTGGAGAGGGCAGCAGGCGGTGCCTGGCGCCGGGGAGAGGACGCCAGCGGCCTCCGCAGAGCGACGAGCAGCCGCTGAATCGAGTTCACCGGGAGCCGACGTGGTCAGACGCGCGTTGGCAACATGAGTTGTGATGCGTCTGGAACAACGCACCTGGAAGTGTCTGGGGACACAGGGCTACGCGGGGCTGGAGCGCTCAGCTCAGCTGCGGCTGGAGTTTGAACCGCCGTGTTTCCACCCGACGGCAGGTTTGCGCTCAGTCACTGCGTGATGTGTTTCACTTAACAAGCACCGATGTTGCGATGTTGCG